TGAGGGCAGTGGTCTTGAGGCCACTTGCCAAGAACAGAGGAGGAAATGGAAGGAAGGGCCATGGGGCTGCTTCCTTTCCGCAGCACTGAGCGCATGCCCCAGGAAGCCACTTGGTAGAAGTCAGGCAGGCAGCCTGGACTCCTCCACCCGAGGGGGAAAACCTCTCCTTTCCGTCCCTTACATCTCATCCATCCTGCCAGCCATGTCATGAGGCTGAGGGGCTGAGCGACCAGTCCTCACTGCAGGCCAGACCCATGTGAGATGCCACAGTAGGGTAGAGCTGAAACTGGTCACCGCACAGAAGCGTGGGCTCTGCACAAGCAGTGCCGCAGCTGCTTCTCCCTTGTGTCTGCAGCACCTGGCATGGTCCCTGGTGCACCCAGGTCAAGGCCTGCACATACCCCAGGCCCCCAGATCACAGATGCAAGCAGACAGAACCTGTGGAGTCTGCTTGAGTGGCACCGTGAAGTAGATGATTGTTTGTCCCAGGCCACTGCCACTGGCTCTAACTTTGACTGAGCCATTTTCTTTGTGACCTCAGCTCTGTGCTGTAGCAGAAGTTGGCCTGGATGGTTTCTAAGGCACCTCTTATACCATGGCAGGCTTTAGCGTCCCCCTGGGAGTAGCAAGCATAACTATGTTTAGGTGTAGGGCTAGAGGTCAGAATGAGGTGGGCGATGTGGTACTCATAATAAATGAACAGAGTCAGGAAATGTATCCTTGAACCAGGAAGAACCACTGGGAAGCAGACATATTGGGGGCATCTCGCAGTCTGTACCCTATTTTTCTTTTTTCTTTTTCTTTTTGGTTTTTTGAGACAAGGTCTTGCTATATATTTCAAGCTGGCCTTGAACTCACTATGTGGCCCAGGCTGGCCTCAAACTTGCAGTGATCCACCAACCTTGGCCTCCTAAGTCCTGGGATTACAGGTATGTACCACCATACCCAGCCTACTTTGTGCCTTCTTTTTTTTTCTTTAATTATTTTTCCAAGGCTAGCCCTTGGCTTCAAAATGCAGATGTTTGCCAGCTCCAAATCGAGACATCTCATAGAACTTACCTTGATTTTCACATGGAGACCCCCAGACCGTGTCTCCCAAGGCCTGTTGAGTTGTGGGGGCTCTTTGTGTTGATTCACTCAGTAATTACTTTGTGGGGTTATGTTTCCCCGTGCAGCAGTCAGAGAGGCCAAATGACTACATTTGAGGGTTTGGTGGAGAATTCTGTGCATTACTTGGGAGCTAGACGTGGTGCTCACCAGACTGACAGGCACAAGCATTTTGCCAATACATGCTGAGAACTCAGCCTTTGTTGCCTCCCCTTTTCCCTATCTTTTGTCACAACACCTGGCCAGATGAGGCTCTTTGTGCTGGAAAGACCTGAGTGTTTGGCAGGAATTTTCAGATATCAGTCAGCGGGAGGCCGTGAGACCATGCAGGCCAGACTCAGCCCTCTGGAGTGGACCTGGGCATGTGGAACATTGAATCAGGCTGTCTGCTGACACCACCGACCGCATCACTGAAGGCTCACTCGCTTGCTTGCTTTCTTACTTTTCATGTATGAAAACTTGGATTTTCCCAGTTTGTAGTACAAAACTACAGAGCCCTCAAAGTTAGCAGAGAATGTTACCTGGAAGGTAGTAGCTCACCAAGTGCTAAATGATACTCCATGCCAATTTCTGTTTGAGACATTTTGGTTACGATTCTCCCATAAGCTTGAATTAAGGTGATTTCCATAAACAGTCTGGTTTTTCTTCTTAAGTCAGCTCTTTTTGTTTTAGTTTTTGTTTTTTTTTTTGTTTTTGAGACAAGGTCTCCCTCTGTAGTTCAAGATAGCCTAGAACTCACTATGTAGCCCAGACTAGCCTCAAACTCACTTGATCCTCCTGCCTCAGCCTTCGTAGTGCTGGGATCATAGGTGTGCACTACTATACCCATCCTGTCAACTTTAAGTGTGTTTTCAAAAAAAATGGTACTATCATGAAAATTAAATATGTTTTTATTAGTGACGTTTATAAAATACTGGGTTTCAGTGTGGTATTTTCATACATGCATATATTCTGATCGTACCAAATCCCAGCTAACCCTTTATACCACTTTCTCCCTGCCTTTCTTGCCTTCGTCTTATCTAATAATAGTCTCCTTCTACTTTTCTTTTTTGTACCAGGGATTGAACTTGGGACCTTGCACTTGCCAGGCAGGTGACAGAACCACTGAGCTAAATCCCCGGCCTCTACTTTCTTTTTTTGTTTGTTTTTTGTTTTTTTGGTACTGGGGATCAAACTTAGGCCCTCTCACTTGCCAGTGGGTGCTTTGTGGCTGAGCTACATCCCCGGCCCCTCTCCTTCCGCTTTCATGTCATCATTTTCTCCCCAGTACCTGGGATTAAACTCAAGACCTTGCACTTGGTGGGCAGGTGCAGCACCACTGAGCTATCCCGGCCCTTCACATCATCATTTTTTTTTCATGTCATCATTTTTAGATCCACATGTTTAAAAAAACGTGCCATGCTTGTCTTTCTGAGTCTTGTTTATTTTGCCTAACATGATGATCTTCAGTTCCCTCCATTCTCCTGCAAATGACATAATTTCATTATTTATGGCTGAATAATACTCCATTGTGTATGTATGTCACACAGTGTGTGGTATGTGTATGTTTTCGTCATCCACTCATTAATAGGCACCTAAGCTGTTGTGAATTGTGCCACAATAAACATGGGTTTGCCGTATCCTATGATATGCTGACTTTCACTCTTCAGATACATGCCAAGGAGTGGTAAAGCCAGATCAGATGTAGCTCCAGTTTCAATTTTGGGGGCTTTTTTGGGGGGGTACCGGGGATCGAACTCAGGACCTCAGGCTTGCTGCTGAGCTAAATCACCGGCCCTTCCAATTTTAGTTTTGGGGATTTTTTTGTTTGTTTTGTTTTTTGGTACCAGGATCAAACTCAGGACCTTGCGCTTGCAAGGCAGGCGGAACCACTGAGCCAAATCCCTGCCCAGTTTTAGTTTTTTGAGGAATTTCCATACTGATTTCCATAGTGGCTATATTAATTTACATTCCCACCAGCAGTGTAGAAGAGATCCTTTTTCCCCCTGCATCCTTGTCAGCATTTACTATTTTTTTGGGGGGGGTGTTTGTTTGTTTGGTGCCAGGGATCGAACTCGGGTCCTTGTGCTTGCAAGGCAGGCCACCGAACCGCTGAGCTAAATCCCCGGCCCTTATCTTTGTATTTTTGATGATGGCCATTCTGACTGGGTGCTGTGGAATCTTGAGTGTAGTTTTGATTTCTTAATGGCTAAAGATGTTGAGCATTTTTCCATAAACATACTGGCCATTTGTGCTTCTTTTTGTTTTGTTTCTGTTTTTTTGAGACAGGGTCTCACTGTGTAGTTCAGGCTGACCTCAAACTTGCAGCAATCCTCCTGCCTCAGCCTCCCAGAGTGCTGCAATTACAGGCACGCACCACCACCCCCAGCTCATTTGTACTTCTTTTGACAGAGGCCCATTGAAGTCATTTGCCCATTATTGATTGGTTTGGGGGTGTGTGTGTTGTTGTTGTTTGATTTTTTATGTACCCTAGCTATTCATCTTCTGTAGGAAAAGTAGATGGCAGAGATTTTCTCCCATCCTGTAAGCTGTCTCTTCATTGTGTTGGGTTTTCCTTGCTGTGTAGAAGCTCTTTAATTCCATATGGTCCCTCCTGTTGATTCTTGCTGTTATCTCCTGTGCTATTGGAATCCTTCTCAGGAAGTCTTTGCTTTGTCTGTGGCTTCAGATGTTTCCCCTGAGTTTTCTTTTAGCAGCTTCAAAGTTTCATAGCTTATCCTGTACCTAGGTCTCTGATTCATTCTGGATTGGTTTCTATGCAGGGTGAGAGATGAATTTAGTTTTAATCTTCTACATATGGGTATCCAGTTTTCCTAGCACCATTTATAGGGTTTTTTTCCCTTTTTCACCCCATATCCAAGGGTTTATTTACTTGACAAAAATGCAAAACCCACCACCACTTGTTTAAAAGGCTCTTTTCTCCATTTGTTTTCTGCCTCCTTTGTCGGTATGAGATGGTTGTAGATGTGTAGCTTTGTTCCTGTGTCCCCCACACCGTCCTATCCGTCCATTTTTTTGTGCTGTCACCATGCTGATTTTGTCACTACCACGTTGTGATGTAATTTTAAATCAGGTGTTGTACTTTTTGCCTTTCCCAGTTCTGTGAAGAGTGTCCCTGGGACTCAGTGTGGATTGTGTTGACTCTCTATATAACTTTTGGTGGTGTGGCTGCTCTGACAGCCTTAATTCTGCAGCTCCATGAACACGGGAGGTCTTTGCATCTTCTCGTGTCTTCTTCAATTTCTTTCTTCAGATTTCCGGAAAACTCATTGTAGCAGTCTTCAGGTTGGTTAGGTGTTTTCTGAAACTTGTGAAGGGAATTACATTCCTGATTTCTTTGTCCCCCACTTGCCCAGCACAGTCTGAGCTTCACCAGGGGTTTTGCACACACTGACCTCAGGGTGCCTGTCTGGTCCCTGTCTCAGGCAGGGACCCAATTTCATGTTGATATTGTCATTTTGAACCTAAGTATTGCATTTGGGAAGGGGACACAGCAAGATCTCTAACAGGATTGTTCTCACCTCCGCACCCTCCCTTGCTAGCTCTCCTCTGGGAAGTGCAGACCTTCTCCAGGCTCTGCACGGGGCTGCTGGGCCCGGAGCATGAAGGCGGGGCTCTGAAACTTCTCGGACCCTGCCCAGCCTGTAGGCTCCTTCTGGGGACACTGCAGTTGTGCGAGGAAGCAAACAAGGGTGGAAGTGGGCAGGAGAGGTGTTCAGCCTGTGACCTCGCACCTTGGGGCTGCAGCTTCATCCTTTTTTTTTGAGACAGGGTCTTGCTGTGTAGTTCAGGCTGGCCTTGAACTCAGCGATCCTCCTGCCTCAGCCTCCCAAGTGCTAGGTTTACAGGCATGTGCCACCATGCCTGGCTACCCTCCTGTTCTTTGACTCTAGGAAGATGATGAGAAGCTAATCGAGGAGATCCAGAAAGAGGCCGAGGAGGAGCAGAAGAGGAAGAATGGAGGCAAGTGCTGTCCCCCACCACAGCCCACAGCCTGGGGCAGGATGGGCGCTGTCCCTCAGGGCATCACTGCTCATCTGGGGAGCCCATCGAAGCGGGGGTGCAGCCTGGGCACCTCATGATGGTGGGGGTCGTGAGGATGGGTTTGAGCTCAGGAAGTTGATGCCCTTTCCAAGGTGGGTGGGGGTGAGCAGGAGCCTCAGGTGGTGTCACCATGTGGGCTGGATGAATGCACTGCCTCAGGGCTGTGGGGTGTGACACACTGGGTTTCCGCTCCTGTAGTGATGGGGAGGGTGGGGCTAACACATTCATCACCGCTGCAGCCGCTCCTGCGCCCTGAGGGTCGGAGGCCAAACCTGGCAGCATGTGGGGGACCCCCACCCACTCCCCCACTAAGTTGTGCCCTCCTTTCAGAAAACACCTTCAAGCGAATCGGGCCCCCGCTGGAGAAGCCTCCCGAGAAGGTGCAGAGGATGGAAGGTCTGCCTCGGCCAGTCCCGCAGAACTTGCCTCCGCCACAGATGCCTCCCTATGCCTTTGTGCACCCACCCTTCCCCCTGCCACCTGTGCGGCCCATGTTCAATAACTTCCCACTCAACATGGGCCCCGTGCCAGCGCCCTATGTGCCCCCTCTGCCCAACATGCGCATCAACTTCGACTTCGGTGCCATGCACATGCCACTGGAGCACAACCTGCCCATGCACTTCGGCCCCCAACCACGGCACCGCTTCTGATGGCCAGAGCTCCAGGGGCAGAGGGCCCTCACTTGGGCCCAGCTCTGCCCTGGTGTTCCCAGTGAGGATGGCCACTCAGTGCTCAGGTGGGCTGATTTTTTCCCCTCCATCCCAGAAAAGGCCACTGTTCCTCTGAGCAGGTGCCCGTCTGGCTCTCACTGAGCTGACATAAGGGCAGCAAAACCCTCTTCCCCAGTTCTGCCACCATGGCAGTCAGCATGGTGGCCCTGGCTGTGCCCAGGCCCTGTGTCTGCTGTGTCTTCAAGCCCCTGCAGAAAGAGGCAAGAAGAAATATCTGGCCTGTCCCCTCCCCTGAACAACAGAGCCATCCAGGCCCATCCACAGCACAGCCAGGCCCCTAGTAGACATTGTAGCGAACAGCAGTGCCTGGAGAGAGCTAGGGTATCTGAGCAGCCCCCAGGGAAGCCGGGAATAGCCTAGTATTCCTGCTGTACCCCCACAGCCTTGGCCCAGCGGCCCGCTGTCTCTCACACTCGTGCTTCCTCAGAGCTGGACCCTGGGGCGCACATCAGCTGTGGGCCTCTCCCTTGGGCCCAGCATCAGCATCTGGGCCTCCCCATCTTGAAGAGGCTGCTCTTGGCCCAACTGAGGGTAGCAGCTCCATGGGCACAGGCCTGGGGCGCACAGTGTGGGGGCTGCATTCCTCGGCCCTCAGCAGCTCAGACCCCATTGCCATCATGGCACCCACTCAGGTCAGACAGCCCAGAGGACCATCCCATTGTTCAGCTTTTATTTTGTTGGGTTTTGTTTTGTGGAGCGGTTTTTGGTTTTTTGAGACAGGTTCTCACTTTGTAGTGCAGACAGGCCTTGACCTCACTGTGTATCCTAGGCTAGTCTCAGATTCTGGGCGATTCTCTTGCCTCAGCCTCCTGAGTGCTAGGATTATAGGCGTGCACCACCACACATGGCTTGTTTTATTGTTGATCTGAAGCACTTCCTCCTATTCACATACTTGGAGCTTTAGCCTGTGAGAGCCTGTTCCCTCATGTCTGGAAAGGCACACTGAGGGCAGCCACCCCACACCAGGCAGCAGCTGAGGACTGAATGACCCTGACACTCAGACCAAATGAAAAGGTCCATTCTCAGCAGCCATCACAGGGGCCTCCCACAAAGCCTGGTTCCTGGGGCTTTACTGCCATCAATCAGGTGGCCATGGCTGTTCCCCAGTATTTGGTGCCTGCTCTCCCCCTGCCTACTGGGTGCTCCCCTGTGGTTACCATGGAGACAGGCGAGGTTCTGATTCTGGGCCAGCCCCTGTGTCACTGCCATCCAGCGCAGTCCTCACACCCAAGAGGCTTCGCTCAGGCTGTCACCGGGCAGCCAGCACTTTCTTGTCCCGTGTTGACCGTCCTAATCCTTGTCTTGTGACCATAGGGTTCTAGGAGATGGCCTGGGGGGAACAGGCACCTACACTTGCTTCTCAGATGTTTATCCAACTCTAGGCAAAAGACCCGAGACGTGTCCTTCCTGCCTCGGCTCAGGGTGAAGGCTTTGAGGCAAGGCAGCACCTGCGTGGGGTGGCAGGTGGGTGGGCGCCCTCCCCAGGTTGCACTCATGGCCAGGATGACAGTGCCTTGGAAAGGTGGGCTGTGCCCCGAGTGACAGGACCCTCCAAGTACCTTCAATGCAAACCACATCCTCCACTTTTCCACTGGGAGTAGAGTGGGCAGCAGTTGGCCCCACAGATGGGAGGTGACCCCAAGCACTGTCCCTCCAAGGTCTCAAGCCACCACGTTGGTCTGGGAGCCCAGTTCCGGCTGTGTCCTGTTCCCCACCATGGGGCTCCATCCAGGGCTGAGGCAGGACCTGGGGGTGGAGGTGACTGCTGTTCCTTCCAATAGAGTCGGGACCCATGGAGATGTCTTTCCACACTAGTCCAGCTGTCTCCAGCCGCCTCAGCTCCAAGGGAGGGAACCAACCCCCTCTCTGCCCACTCCTACGGCGTCTGGCCCTGCATGTCCCCAGGCTGCAGGCCCCAGGAGCCCCCATCCCTCCAGGTCCCTTGGGTCCTGGGCAGAGCTGGGAGGCTCCTGCTCTGGCCCCAAGGGTCAGGCCCTGCTGGTACAACAAGAGGGCCCACAACGCAGCTGGCACCTTAACCTCTGGGGCAGGAGCCTGCCCCGCCACTGTCCCAGTTTACTTGCCTTAAAACTGGAGAGGAATCTAGTATTTGCACTTAGTAGAGGATGTAAGTCTGAAGGAAAGTATGTGTGCATGATCTGTCACTTTGTATAAAATGGCAAAAAAGGGGATCAAGTAGTTTATTAAATGTTTTACCTTGTAGTAAAAATAAAGTAACTGTTTAAACTGCTGTGTGTAAAAAGCCTGTATCATATGTAAGTTGGACTTTTGTAAATAAATGTTTGTGCATTCTGCTCCTTCTGGATTCCTTTCTCCACATGCAGAGAACCCTCCAGGTCCCCAGGAGGGGCTGGGTTCCATGAGAAAGGGTGAGGCCCCTGCTTCTGCCGGGAGGAGTCAAGGCCCCTGAGGCCGTACTGCCTGTGCAGCCACTGGGCCAGATGAGGCACAGAAGGCTGCTTGCTTCCTTTCTGGCTTGGAATCCCCCACACCCCTCACTGGCAGCACAGCTTCTCCCCTAGTCCAAGGGGCCACAGCCAGGGTGGGCAGGCACAGGCCCCAAGACCCTAAAAAAGGCGGGCCACATGGCAGGCTTCCAAAAGATAGGGGGTGTCCCTCTCTATACTTGCTACTTTTATTGAGCAAATTTCGGGGCATTCATTTTAACTTATCTTTGGTTTTTGAGACAGTGTCAAACTCATGGCTACCTCCTGCCTCAGGCTCGTGAGTGCTAGGGTTATAGGTATGCACCACCATGCCCAGCTATTTTGGTACACCTGAGAGGAACAGTTTCAAGACAAAGTTACTCACATTCCCAACTTCTAAGTAGGTCAAGGTGTGTACTTTTTGTTGTTGGTTTTTTGAGACAGAGTCTCAGTATGTGACCCAGGCTGACCTTGAACTCAGGTGATCCTCCTGTGTCAGCCTCCTAAGTGCTGCTCCTCGTGTTGCATGTTCACAGCGATATCACAGGCTCTCCTAGCCCTCAGCACCACGGGCTGTGTCTCCCTCTGCGTCCCCCCTGCTCCCAGGATGCCACCCCCCTCCTGGGTGCTCCTCGGTGTGACCTTGTCCCAGGCTGCTCCCCTCCCTGTGGGGTGGCCCTTGGTGACACCTGGAAGCCCTCAGATGTCCCAGGAGATGTGTCCCCAAGGTGAGGCTAGGGCTGGCGTGTCCCTCTGTGTGCCAAATGTCAGTGGCTCTGCCTGCCAGTACCCAGTGGCAGGTGGGAGCCTGGCCCCTGCAGTGGCCGTGGCATTCAGCAAGTCTCTGGCTCCAGAGCTGGCCACACACCTGACCACGTGGGCAGCAGTGCATCTTCATCTAAACAGCATGTCTTCCGTCAGAAGCCCCTGTGGCTTCTGCTGCGATGCTCCCACCAAGCTGACCTCGCCTGCCTTCCCTGCCTCCCTCCCTGCAGCTGGCCCACTGGCCACAGTGGTGCCCTGCCTCCTCCTCACCTCCTTGCTGCTCACAGCCCCCGAGGCTGCCGTGTGCAGCCCCTGGGTCCTGGGTCCCCCGCACCTTGCCCTGAGTCAGGGCTGTCACACGAGCAGTCTGGCTGTTCCACTCCTGACTTCCTTGGCCCAGCACTGGTGGGATGGTGCGGGGAGGCTCCAGGTAAGCTCAGCCTGGGGGTCAAGTTCCTGTGGCCCACCTGCCCAGCCCAGCCATAAGTACCAGTGACACAGCTGTCCTGTGAGCCCCAGGCTTGGAGTCCCCACTCAACAGCCCTGTAGGTCTGTGGCCCTGGGCAAGGCGCTCAGCCTATCACCATTCAGTGAAGTGTGTCAAGACAGCAACTCCTTGGGCTGTGAGCATCAGTGCTGCAGGCAGGACTAGCACAGGAGGGCACAGCAACCCTGGTGCATGGCCAGGTCAGTGGTCATCCCTTCCTGGCTGGCCCTAGAATTTTTTTTTCAGTCCCTGAATCTCAGATCTTCATGCTGAGCTACATCCCCGCCCTTGTTATTTTTTGAGACAAGATCTTAACTAAATCACTAAGTTGCCCAGGATGAGCTGGAACTTTGGCTCCTCCTGCCTCAGCCTCCCAGCAGTCTGGGGTTGCAGGCATGCACCACCATACCCAGCTCATCCCTAAAATCCCCATCCATTTGGGGCCAGGTCTGTGCAGGCCCACCAGCCTCTCAACAATGATACCAAAACCAGCCTCTGATACTCCTGCGCTGGGTCCATCTGCACCTGTGTCTGCTCACCCGGGGGCCTAGGCAGTCAGGCGACACAGAAACACGCACCCAAAAACCAGACAGATGTTTGGAACCAGGATGAGGGGACCCAGGTACTGCACACTAGGGCAGGTGCTGTCCCTGGAGCAGTCAGGTGTGGCCCTGGAGAGGAAGGTGGCCCAGCTCCTGCCTGCCTGGAGCATCTGCTGTGGACTCCAGAGCAGAGTCCAAGTCCCTGCTGCAGACGGCCCCAGGGATGCACTCAGCACCATCAGGCAGGACCCACACCCAGGCCAGGAAGAGTTCCTGGGAAGGAGGCTGCCACCCCCAGGGCCCAGCCCCAGCTCCCCTCCCCAGCTGACCCTGCCCACTCCCTCCTGTCCCCTGCTTCTGGTGGCTCCTGCCATACCCAAGGTGCTGCTCCATGCAGTACTCAGTAGGCGGGCCTCAACTTCAGGTGCTGCTGCCAGGGGCCCTGGGGTGCTGCCATCAGCTGGGGTTCACTGAGGTCACAGCCCTTGCCCTCTGAGGTCCAGCTTCTCTACAGCACAGACGCCACTCTGGCTGTGGGGAGTTGGTGCTAAGCACTTGCCCTCTTAGTGAACACGGCAGACCACAGGCCACGCAGGGGCAGATGAGCTGCCACACCAAAGGCTACCTGTCCTTGCCCACATGCACACCGGTGGTCACAACCTGCAGAGGCACGGGGATTGCAGCTGGGAGGCAGCTGCCCCAGCTCACACAGGTGGTTCTCATCTCTCCTGTCTGCCTGGTGCTTGTTTGGGGTTTTGTTTGGGGTTTTGTTTGTTTGTTTGTTTTTGTACCTGGGATCAAACTCAGGACCTTGTGCTTGCAAGGCAGGCAGCATAACCACTGAGCTACATCCCCAGCCCTATCTGCCTGGTGCTTGGGCTTGGCTCTCTCCATCTCCCTTTCTGTCCCCTTCTCCTCTCCCTCTATTTCTTCCTCCCCTGTTCCCCACCTCCCAATGAAGAAGCACAAATAGCACAATGGATTATAAGAGTCAAAAATAAAAACAAGTCCATGGGGAACCCAATGTGGTTGCACACACCTGTAATCCCAGGCACTCTAGGAGGCTGAGGCGGGGGGGTCACAAGTTGAACCCAGCCTGAACAACTTACTGATTTAGTGAGACCCTGTCTCAAAATAAAAACTAAAATGAGCTAAGAATATGGTTCAGTGCAAAGTCCCAGCATTCAACTCCCCATTGCTGCAGAGTATTAAACAACAAATTGTAGGTAAAGAATCTGACCTTCAGGAAGCCACACAAACATTAGCTTAGCTGTTTATGGAATCAGAACACAGGTGAAGGCTCTTTCCACCTGTGGTGGCAAACAAGACACCTGGTCAGTTGAGCCTCAGTTTCCCCGCTGGTAAAATGCAGAATTGGCTGGGCAGCCTGAGCAGCCCTCCTGGCTGTTCTAACAGAGAGACTGAGGGCTACAGAGAGGTCCCCGAGCGATGATGACAGTGCTGGCTTGGCATTATTCCTACCAGACCCCCGAACATCGTGTGTTTGGAGAAACAAGCTGTGGCCACCCAGGCCCAGTGCATTCCTTGCCTGTAAGAAGGCAGGGAGGAGGACACCACGTGACAGCAGCGTAAA